AATGTAAGCATTGTCCCTGAGAACTAAGTCTTACTTGCACAGAACAACCAAATCCACACCCAGCTGAGTGTGGAGGGCAGAGGGAGAGAGGAACTAACAGCTGTCTGAGCTTCCCAAGCAGAGACAGAGCAGAGGGAATGATGGAAATGGAACCAGCTTTAATCCTCACATACACCCTGCTATGGTCTGTGTCCCCCAAATTCATGTTATACCCTGACTTCCAACGTGATAGGATTAAGAGACAGGGCCTTTGCAGGGGTCATCAGGGCATGTGAGTAGGGTTCTCGTGATGGGAGGAGTTCCCTTGTAAAGGAGACCCCAGAGAGCTCCCTCGCTCGCCCCTTCTGGCATGTCTCTGAGCCAGGAAGTGGCCCTACAGGACATGAATCTGCTGGCACCCTGGTCTTGAACTTCCAGCCCCCAGAGCTATGAGAGGTAAATGAGCCTTATTTATAAGCCACCTAGTCTGCAGTATTTTGTTAAAGCAACCAATGAAGATGCACCCCAGGAGGTGGGTCCTTCTTGTGCCCCTTTTCCAAATGGGGAAAATGAGGTGGAGAGAAGTTACATGACTTTCCCTTGCTGCACAGGGAGTCAACAGACATTTGCTGAGCCCCTGCCACACAGTGCTCCAGGCCACAGAGACCGTGCAGGATGGCAGCATGCCTGCCCTCAAGGAGCCTCCATCTAGCAAGGAGGGAGACTGATGGTAGCACCAGGCAGAGAGGGGTGGGTGTTTGGCTCAGAACTGAGGTGTGCAGAAATGGCAGCCATGCCGAGACCCAGGGGAAGCTGTTCATGCAGAAAAACACAAGTGCAAGGTCCCGGACAAGAGCCAGAAATCAAGCTTGTTTTCTCCAAGACACAGAAACAGACAAACCTGGCGGGTGCTGAGTGAATGTGCAGAAAACTGGAGAGAGGTGAGCAAGGAGAACTGAGGAGGAAACATCAGGTGGACCTGGGAAGCTTCCAAAAATAACCTGGCTTTCCTTCCATTTCCTGATATGTGTCCTGGGAGCCACTGGGGAGGTTTAAGCAGAAAGGTGCTATGTTACGAAGCCGTGGTCATATCTGGGATGTGCTGGGGAAGTGAAGCCTCCAGGACTTCCTGATGTACTAGACGTGGGGCCTGACAGCAGGGAAGCCACGATGGCGTCAAGGTTTCTGCCCAAGCAGCGGGCTGGCAGGGGCACCCTGTGCTGAGATGGGTGGCAGGGTGGGCAGGGTGGGCAGGTAGACAGTCAGGCCTACAGCACCGCAGAAGGAAGAAGTACAGGCACCGTGAATGCAAAGACCATTCCTGAAGCCCTAGGGCCAGGTGAGATCCCCCAGCAGGACGTGCAGAGGTGGGAGAGCAGGCAGGGTTGAGTAGGTCCTCTGTGTGGGTGCTGAAGTCGCCAGGAAAAGAACAGGGGTGGAGGTGCTGAGGACAGAGCAGGCCAGTATCGGGGTAACCAGCCCCCAAAATTTCAACGTAGGTTCTGTCTATTTTCCCTAAGTGTTGGCCAGTCTGAGAAATAAAGAGAAAGAGTACAAAGAAATTTTACAGCTGGGCCTCTGAGGGTGTCATCACATATTGGTAGGACTGTGATGGTGACCCCGAGCCACAAAACCAGCAAGTTTTTATTAGGGATTTTAGAAGGGGAGGAGGTGTACAAACAGGGAATAGGTCGCAAGGATCACACGTTTCAAAGGGCAACAAAGATCACAAGGCAAGGCAAAATTACCGATGAAGGTCCATGTCCCGCTGTGCACACACTGTCTTGGTAAACATCTTAACAGGAAACAGGGTTCAAGAGCAGAGAACCAGTCTGACTAGAACTTACCAGGCTGGAATTTCCCAAACCTAGTAAGCCTGAGGGTACTGCAGGAGACTAGGGCATATTTCAGTCCTTATCTCAACCGCATTTAAGACAGACACTCCCAGAGCAGCCGTCTATAGACCTACCCCAAGGAATGCATTCCTTCCCCAGGGTTATCCATTATTAATATTCCTTGCTGGGAAAAGAATTCAGCGATATTTCTCCTACTCACACAGTCATCTATAGGCTCTCTGAAAGAAGAAAAATATGGCTCTATTCTGCCCGACCCCACAGGCAGTCAGACCTTATGGTTACCTTTCCTTGTTCCCTGAAAATCGCTGTTATTCAGTTCTTTTTCAGGGTGCACTGATTTCATATCGTTCAAACACACGTTTTACAAGCAATTTGTATGGTTAACACAATCATCACAGGGTCCTGAGGTGACACACATCCTCAGCTTACAAAGATGATGGGATTAAGAGATTAAAGACAGGCATAAGAAATTATTAAGATTATTAATTGGGGAAGTAATAAATGTCCATGAAATCTTCACAATTTATGTTCAGAGACTGCAATAAAGACAGGCGTAAGAAATCATAAAAGTATTAATTTTGGGAACTAATAAATGTTATGAAATCTTCACAATTTATGTTCTTCTGCCACGGCTTCAGCCAGTCCCTCCACTCAGGGTCTCTGACTTCCTGCAACAGGCCAGGGACTGAAGCCCCCGGTGAGTGAGAAGTAGCCAGCTCACCTGGCAATGACCACAACACAAGGAAAGGCAGGAGCCATCAATCCTAATGGCACACCCTCCCAAAGAGCTGGAGTGTTCTGAAGAAGACTGTTTGGAAGTAGCAACGGAAAATGATGCCCGCCCCATCTCTAGGCCCTGAGGTCCTGGGGGCAGAGGAGAAAAACCAGCATGCATTTGAGAGAACAGCAGGGGAGGCAGGCCGAGGAAAGGGCTGGTTTTCATCTCCCTGGATTGCTAGGATGGCATCGTGAGTGGGACGGTAATTTATTGCCTGGCACTGGGCTACACTTGCATTTCACTTCCCTGTCCCTTCCGACTAAATGCTGGCAACAGGCCCTGGTCACAGTTATGCCAGAAACACTCCCACACATTTCCAAACCTCCCTGCTGAAGAGCCACTCGCTCCATATAAGAAGGTTAAGGGAACACTCGGGGAGGAAGAGGATGAGGAAATACAGGAGTCAGCTATCAAAAGACCTCAAGTTCCTGCAGTCACCACGGAAGGGGTCATGGGAGTAGGGAGGGATGGGAAATGGGGCTGGGGTGAAGACTCCTGGAGATGGACCACCTGGGGCTTGGGCCACTGACAGAATGGAGACGCACAGAGATGTGGCCACCGTGGACATCCCGGGAGACCGAGGGGCAGCAGCTGAAGATGCAGGGAAGACTGGACACAGCCCTGGGGGTAGGGCAGATGCAAGGGGACAACCCAAAGGGGCTTACAGGACTGGAAGAGTTAAGGAAACAAACAGATCGTAGCGTTCAAAGCCAGCTCTGCCACCTCCAAATCCATACTCAGACATCCAAGGTAGGATGGCACCAAATAGAAACCGAGCCTTCTACCTAAGGAAGCTGAAACACGTGAAACTGCCTGGAGTGCATTGGCTGGGGAGGTTGAGGGCATGGAAAGCAGTAGCCAACCTCGGCTTCTCCCAGTTGCTCCATCTCCCCGGCCAGTTTCTCCAGGCCATCCCCAAAGGAACTGCGCGCCCCTCACACTGCGATTGCGCATAGTACCCAACTTAAGCGAGATGATCCACAAATACCTGCAGAAAGGAAGTAAAGAGAGCTGCTGCTCCTGTGCAGATTTTCCAGCTCCTCCTTGTCCCTTATTGTCCAAACAGTACTCCTAGAACCCGTAAAAGACATCCTTTGGAGTCCTGAGGGTCTACTAAAATTAAATGCTCAGCTTAAACACTGCAATTTTACATGCAAAAACCAAGATTTTTAAAGGAGTTAGTTACTTTATTTTTTCTTATGCTTTTCACTGTCCAATTCACCTCATTCAGAAAGCCTCACATAATATCAGATCAGTATTTTTCTATCCAAAATGGGAAGAGGGAGGAGGAGAATTGTTAGTATCCCTGTCTAACCCATCTAACTAAACATGTAAGGACGGACTTGCCAAAGAGAAAACAAAACAAAAAGTTGGTTCAGGTGTTAAAATTTCAACCAAATATCAAATATGCTAGAGAGAGATGCAAAGAAAATGAACGCTTCTTCTTGATGGGGATTTATCTCCTGCTTCCTAAGAGTGGACTTGAGATTCACACCAGAAATTAAAATCTTCACCACTGAATCCACTCGGCTGAGTTGGAATGACACTTCCCAGCACCTCGCCGCAGAGCTGAGTCGGCACCTGGTGTAAGATCTGAGGCAGAGGCAGGGGGCAGCGTCGGTCCCGGGGCCCGGGGCAGGACACATGCCCACACTGGTGGGCCGGGCAGCATCCCACCCATAGCTCCTCTGCTCCTCCAGCTCTGGGCCAGGCGTGCATGTTTAGCACGGCCGCAAAGGGCAGGCACCGGCCTCTCCTCCAGGAGCCCCCACCCTCAGAGCAGCAGGCTGGGAGGTGGGGAGACGCTGACATGGGCTCCAGGCCATCCCTCTGGGGTCCAGCTCAGCCCCACAGTTCCTGGCTTACCCTTGCTTCCCTCCCTTCACATCTGCCTTCCCTTCCCAGCCACCTGCCTGCCTGAGGCCTTTGGGATCCAGCAGCAGACACCAAAACGATGCTTCACAGGCCTGGGTAGCCAGCTCCCACAGTGCATAGCCCAGTCCCCCACAAGAAATCCTATCTATGTGTGCATATGTATAGACGTGTGCACTGACAAAGACTCTCTCCTTGACCAAACTTCAGATAAGCTCCTGTGAGTCCTCTTTCCAACGAGGCCTCATCCTTCAGCCCTGTCCTCAGCCTGCCTAGCCCAGTTTCGGCAAGAATCCTGGGAAGTCACCCTGGGCCTCCCTGTTAGGCAAGTTTAGCAAGAATCCCCTACACTTAATGTCTCTCCTCTTAGTAATTCTCCACCCACTGACCCCTCACTCTGCCCACTGGCTATAAAGCCCCACTTGGCCCTGTATTCAGAGCTGAGTTCAATCTCTCCTCTGCTGCAATAGAGTTGACTCCTACTGTAGTAGTCTTAAGTAAAATCCTCCTCACCATTTTAACAAGTGTCAGAATAATTTCTCTTTAATGGTGTACATGTATATCTCTAGAACTGTGACGAATACAGTGATTTTTACAGCTTTCTCATAATTTTCAAGGTGGTACTTCTTCCTTCTCCTTAAGTCCTCTAGTCAAAGGCTGTTTTGAAATTGTTCCAGGTTCAGTGTTCAATGGGTGTCTTTTCCTTCAAAAAAACATAAACATATATCATCACCCCACCACTAGGGGCCAGGAGCACTGGGCGAAGAAGAATTTGCCATCAGCAAGTCCAGCAGCTCTAAGAAGGGTATTCACTCACATGACAACTAAACAAAATGTCAGTCAAAGGTGTCATGGCAAGTGTTTCCCCCTTTCTGAGGCGCTGGGAGGCCAGGGGTCCTGCTGCTCTGCCACTCACAGCTGACTGGATAACTGGGTGACTGTGGGCAGACCACTTCATTCACATCACAAAGCACAATGGCAGGACACCATCTGCCCCACAAAACCCCAACTAAGTTTCAGTGACAGTCAAATGAGCAGGAGGGAGGAAGCAATCAGAAGACTGGAAAAGAACTTCACATAAAAGAGATACAACAAACAAACCTGCAGAAAAAAATCCAACCTTGCAAGTCACCAAGAAAACGCAAATTAGAAAAGGACGGCAGCGTCCTGCACACACTGAATTAGCAGCCCTGCTGTGGCCGCATCCACAGTGTCTCAGCAGCAATCACAACACCCAAAAAGGCTGACCCAGGAGGCCCCCTCCTGATGAAAACTCTCTCCTGCTAAAAAAAGCCAAAGGCCTAAAGATGTTCACCACAGTGTTATCAACAGTACCAAAAACAACCTGGAAAGCGAGCAAGAAAGGGAAAAGAAGAAAAGCATGTATTATTAATGCATTCAACAATATGTGACTGCCAACGTGTGCCTCTAGCTAGCGGTAGGGTGCGGGCTTCCTTTGGAGGTGATAAAAATGTTCTAAAACTGACTGTGGTGATAGGTGCACGTATCTGTGAACATGCCAGAAAGCTAAAGTGTACATTGTAAATGGCATCTAAAGGCATGGTCTGAGGGGAATAGCCAGACACCGGGAGCAAAGAGACAAGCGGACCCAGAACCAAGCCCTGACGCAAGTGCCCAGCACATGGGCATCAGAAGTGGGGAAGCTCCAGGAGGAGCTGGGGAAAGGAAAAAAGCACCACGTAGAGGAAGCGCTGGACTGAGAGGACACTGTCGACAGAGAGAAAAAGAGGACAGGAAATGACTCCTGCTTTGGAAACTGGTGACCTTGGCAAGGGAGAGGAGAGGGACGTCCGGCAGAGGGGGCCGAAGGGGGCGCACGAGGGAAGGGCAAGCAGGGGGGCTGAAGAGGGCACGTGAAGGACGGGCAAGCAGGGGGGCTAAAGGGGACGCGCGAGGGAAGGACACACAAGGACGCCGAAGGGGGCGCAAGGGAAGGGTACACAGGTGGGCCGAAGGAGGCGCGCGAGGGAAGGGCAAGCAGGGGGGCTGAAGAGGGCACATGAGGGACGGGCAAGCAGGGGGGCTAAAGGGGACGCGCGAGGGAAGGGCACACAAGGGGGCCGAAGGGGGCGCAAGGGAAGGGTACACAGGTGGGCCGAAGGAGGCGCGCGAGGGAAGGGCACACAGCAGGGCTGAAGAAGGTGCGTGAGGGAAGGCAGACGACCCTGGCAGAGGTTCTGCTTCAGAGTGGAAGGCTGCTTGGCTTGGCTGAGCTGAGCTGCACATTGTGGTAATTACGGCACATTTGCACACAGGGAAGCCAGTGGGGTGGGAGAAAAAGAGGCAGCAGGAGGGGGCGGGGAACACGGAGAGGACAGGAGGGCACAAGCCCCTGTGCCATGGGCTTTGCGGCCGTTCCGCAACATTCTAATGAGACACCAGGCCTGGTGAAGTCAACATCTGCCCCTTCCAGCAGTGCCCCTGAAAGCATAGCACTGCGCCAAGAATAGGGGTGGGAACTGGGGAAGGTGAAGAAGACCTGATGAGGGTAACGGGCTGCCACCATGTCCAGGTAGCCCGGCAACGGCTGCACGGAGTGTCAGGCTGTAGAAGCCACCTCTGCCCAGCGATGCCTCACTCTCACTCAGCTACACGGCCAGCAGACGATCTACAGCCTCTAAGTAACCAAGCCTCGCTCTGACTCAGTAATCCTTCCCTTAACTTCCTTCTCGGAAAATGTCTTTACAGTCACCTAACATAACTGGTTCCCTCTGCCACAAAGTCAAGGAGCACCTTTTGAGGGAACAGTGGGATCTGCGGCAGCCTTGGTTAGGAAGACGTTGCTTTCCAGCAAACACGCGCACTAAGGTTTAGAAGCAGAGATCTGAATTCTGCTCTGAAAACAACATTTTCTGAAAGAACAAACTTTGCCTTCTTTCCAAATAATTGCACTGATTATTTTGGTCTCCTGTATTCAGCGACGTCTGCTGCCACTTCCACCCTCCATCAAGGTGACTTTGATAGAGACAAGCAGCCCATGACAAGATGAGCGACCTGCAAGTGCAATCGTCAGTGCCCACCCCGGGCAAGTCCCATTAGCAAACCAGATGAGGAAGTGACATTTAGACTTCTCCTAAACGGCCATCGCAATGTGACAGGGACAGTGGCAAAGCAGTGTGCAGGTAAATATCAAAGGGAGGTTGTCCATCCATTTAACGGTATTTCTTCACACCTACTGTGTTCCAGGCCATCCCAGGACAAGGCAGATGAGGTCTGCTAGCCTCTCATGTTAAGACTGGGAAACGCAAAGCACAGGGTATGATGCAGAAGAGCCGGGGGTCAGGGCGGTCTCCCGGGGAAGACGGTACTGGAGGTGAGACCTCATGGAGAAGTGCACCATTCAAGATCGCCAGGAACAGGCATGTGGGGCTCTGGGGTGGAAAAGGCTTGGCACGTAGGCATTAATTAAGGAAGCCAAAGGAACTGGAACCGGGAGCGGATGAGAAAGTAAGGGACAAGGTGGGAGAGAGGGCAGGGCCAGGGGCAGAATCTGCAGGCCACCGTGAGTCCTGGGTTTTATTACAGGAGCAACAAAATACGATCTGAGTTGCAGTTTAAACGGGTGTCCGGAGAATGAAGCAACGGGAGGCCGGAGTAGAGCCAGGAAGAGGGGCAGGAGGCTCCAGAGAGGAGATGATGGCAAATTAAACAGAACAAAGGCAGTCAGGGTGAGAAAGTGGAAGCAGGCTGGCTGGGCCTCTCGACGCATCCAAGGTGCATTGAGTAGAGGATGGCAGAAAAGGTGATTCCAGGGCTGGGCCAGAACAACTGCATCGGTAGTCTGGTAAAGGACAAGGAAGGAGAGGTGACAATGGACAAGAGACACAGGCCCACGCTGGTAGCTGACGGTGCTGCCATTCTCCCCGTACCCCTCCAGCTCCCCACGCTGCCTGCCCTTAGAGACAAAAACAGCCAAATCCATTTGGCCCTTCCTAGCCGTGGCACTGTGCCCATTGATTCAACCAACCAAGGACTGAAAATATTTGGGGAAAAAAATTGCATCTGTGCTGAACGTGTATAGTTTTTTTTTTCCTTTCCCTAAACAATACAGGAGAATAATGATTTATGTAGGTAGCGTTTACATCATATGAAGTGCTACAAGTGATCTAGAGATGGCTTAGACCATACAGGAGGCTGGGTGCGGTGGCTCACGGCTGTAATCTCAACACTTCGGGAGCCCAAGGCAGGAGAATTGCTTCAGCCCAGGAGGACGAGACCAGCCTGAGCAACATGGCGAGACCTCATCTCTGCTAAAAATAAAAATAAATAAATAAACAAACTATAGGGGAGGATGTGTATAAGTTATATGCAAATACTATGCCATTTTATATCAGGGACTTGAGTATCCCTAGGTTTTAGTATCCAAGAGAGAGCCTGGAGCCAATGCCCCCCGCCAATACTCAGGGATGACTGTGCTTCCCATCACACTTACAGTGGGCTGGCATGACCCCACAATCCGGTTCTAGCCAATGAGACAGAGAGGTCTTCTAGAGACTCTTAAAAACGTTTGTAACAGCTTTATTGAAATATAATTTGCATAGCAGTTGGCCCATTAAAGGGTGCAATTCAATGGTTTTGAGGATATACCACAGTCGTGCAACAGTCACCACAATGTACCACTGGAATATCTTCACCGCCTCAACTCCATACACTTTAGCCATCGCCCCCACCAAGTCCCCCATTCCCCCAGTCCTAAGAAAGACTAATCCATTCTGTCCCTATAGTCTATTTTGGTCATTTCAAATCATTGGGATCATACAACGTGTGTGTGGAATTCAGAGCCTGGCTTCCTTCACTTGGCATCGCATTTTAAAGGATCAGCCATGCCACAACATGGATGAGTAGTTCACTTGTGGTGTGGCTGCACAGCCCTGTGAGTATTCTCACATACCTTAGATGGATAAATTGTATGGCATATGAGTTAGCTCTCAAAAACTGCATTTATTTTAGTAAGGCTTTCGTTTCTTGTAGGCAAAGCATGACAGCAGCTATGGGGAGAGAGGCACTTTATAGCGACAGTTGTTTCGGAAGTTTAAGATGCTTAAACAACCTCAAGGTCTAACAGTAAGTCAGATTCGTGTTGGATACTATGAGACCTGGGATTCTATACTGCTTCCGCTGAACGAGGAACTGGCAGCCTAATCTTGATCTACGCTTTCAATGGCGAGGTGGAAAGGCCACCTTCCCAACACCTTAGGACTGGGCTGAGCATTAAACGCAGTGGAAAGAGCACGCACTGAAGCCCCGGTTACACGGGCCGCCGTTCCCTGCCTGGAAGAACACCTCTCAGCAGCACCATCCTTTCCTTCCCCTTGCTCCTCCTCCTCTGTTTCCACCTCCCACTCACCCCTTCCCCAGGCCAGTCAGAGCAGTGCTATGGGTAATTATGTTAGTATAATACAAATTATAACAGCAGCACATCTTGGAAAAGAATCACATCCACATACGACAGCCCTTTGGGGTGATTCTGCTGTTCCCTATTTCCCTCTCCAAGTCTTCTTAAGGTAACCTTGAGCAAAAGAACCACTAACGTCTGACCAAGGAGCTGGTGTCCAGGTCCCCCAGAAAGAAAACAGTGCCATCTTATGATATTTACTAAGCACTTCTTGGCAGCAGACATTGTTAGGTACTTCAAGTGTGTCACCTCCAATCCTTAAAACAATCCCGCAGGTAGATGCCAAAACCAAGATACAGAGAGGGTTTTCAAGGAAACACCATCTACCCGGAGGCCTCCAGAAAGACACTGGACGACAGCAGAACAGGCAAACCAAAAGCCTTCAGATCCCAACAAGACCAAGCCCAGGAAAGCACGTGCAACGCAAACCATCTGTACTCTAGCATGAGCACATCACACTCCCTGCCATCCTAACCTGGTCAAGTCATTCCAGCAGCAGAAATGCTGTGAAATAAGGCACATCCTTAACACAGCTTCATTCACTGGACCCCTCCCATCTCATGGGACCCCCCTTTTGTCACTCCTCAGTCTTTTCACAGTAGCATTAATATGACATATTTATAGTATGCATTTTTTCTTTTTTTCCCCTTCTTTTCGTAGGCATTGATATAGTATGCATTTTTAAACCACACTTCACTCACAGTAGCAGAGCCAACATATGGCTGAACCTTACTCGCTTACCTGGGGCTTTTGATCTCAGTCTCTGAAACAGTTTACCTAGCTAATTTTTCCCCTTGTTCCCTTTTTTAGCTATTTGATGTGAAAGCCACGAGTCTTTTCTATTTTCCACAGGAATTGGTGTCAGTAACTATAAACTCATCCTGGAACAGCCAATGCAAGGATGAACATCAGGCAGCAGGCCAGACGTGGTCCGTAGGCCACCGTTTGCCAAACACCGCTCAAAAGCCTGATCAAAGGCCACAGCAGGATCTTTAAAATCGCCAATTAGAAGAAATATCCATTTGGTAGCATAGCAGAAGGTGGGTTGAAAGAGACAGAAGACATCATTCATTCAGCCGGCATTTAAGGACCTGTAAGCTACCAGGTGCTGCTCCAGATACACATGACAGTTCGTGTCTTTGAGGAGCTTAGAGGCTTGCTGGGTGGGGAAACAGACCAGCAACTCCACAGCCCAGCATGCTGGAGGCTCTGACAGAGGCAGGTTCAGGGCATGGGAAGCTGCCAGAAGGGGCACTGCAGTCATGGCCGGGATGA